CTAGATAAAAAATCTTAAACCTCAAATATCACATTTTGCCTGCAGGAAAGCTAATACGATGGGGTTTGATTTTTTTTTTTTTAAAGACAAGAACATCCTCTTACAGATCTGCATTTCTTTAACTGTTTATCTTACCTAAACCAGGAGGTACCTTCACTTTCCAGGTCCTCAAACCCTCCCAAATCTGCTGAAAGTTTGTGTCTGTCCCTTCCAAGTTCAGATGAGTTGTTGCCTCTCTGTTCCTCCCACTGAGGCAGAGCCACTGCCAAGATTTGGGGGCTGCACACAAACATTGGTGCAGCTTGGAAAAGCAACACAGTAGGTTTCTTGAAGGAGTTTATGGTTCACCCTGTTGGCCAACATTTTGTTTAATCACTCTGTATCAATAAGGTGCCTCTGTGGGATTGCATAGATGAGGCTTTTTCCTCACCACGATGATGGCATGACTAAAGATGATAGCTAGGTAACATAAAGCCAGTTAACAGTTCATAACAGGTTCACGCAGTAAAAGCTTCAAAGCTAATGCAGTGCTTTAGGAATGTTTTGCTGTTCAGGTGCTTTCTGCAAAGGCTGTACAGCTTGATCCTCTAGTCACTCAGGTCAGCCCCACTGGCTAGCAGGTAGGAGCTCCTCTATTTGTGAGAAAAAAGTCTATTTAGCCATTTTCTTTGAGTAAACCTATATCAAAGGAGCCTATTACACCTCTGCCCTCATCCATTCTTCATGCAGTTGCAAGGGACTCTTTGTGCAAAATAGTGGGCAGTGCTGATATGTAATATTAAAGTGTGATTTAGGCATATGAATGAAAACCACTCGATATTCCTCCTGGACTGCAAAGCTCCTGGCAGCATTATCCTTATTTTAGTGATGCTATCAGTGAAATCCTGTCCACAGCTATCAGGCAAATGAAAAAGTGTCAACCTATAAAGCAAAAATCTTTTTGAAAGGTCACTATTTCTGGTGTAGGCTGACAGCAGCAAGGACCAGCAGGGCCCATATTTATTTCCTTTTTCTCTGGACATGCATCTTGCCACAGATCAGTTGTGAAGTGATGCAATCTGCACCAGGCAACCATTTAAAATCATTCAGTGCTTAGAGCCACTGATGTCTTATCCACACAAGCCATCTCTGTTTTACCTTTATTACCAGCAATTTGCACTGGTGACAGCTCCTGTTGGGCAGCTGAGAAGCTTTTTTTCTTGTCTTTGTATGTATTTTCAGTCTAACAAGAGAGAGATGCATTGTTTACGGGCCCCAGATAGGAACCACTGACATACAAAGAGGCAGCATATTCTCAACAACTGACCTTGTCTTCTGTCTTGGAATGGTTTCCTCTTTGTGGTCAAGACACAGACCAAGATAACTAACCTTGCAGCCCTACTAACTGTGCAGTCACACCTCACTGAGGAAGCTGTTGTGGGTAGCCAGGAACTGGGGTTTACACATCAAGTTCTGAGCAAAACGAGGCCTCTTTTCTTTCTTTAAATATTTATTTGACTTGTGCTTTCCAAGTGCCTGTACATAAATTCAGAATGCTGCAATGGGCACTTCAAAAGTATCTGACCAGTAACCAGTGACTACCTGCCAATGGTCCTGACTCTGGTGCTGGGCAGAAAGGGCATCACCGGGAAAAATGAAGCTGTTGGGCCAAGAAAGCACACTTGGTCACATCTTCTCTGGCTGCTCAAGGAAACTGATAAGCTGTGCTGGTTCTGCATTTTACAGGTGGTGACCGTCTAGCTAGGAAACTGCAGGTGCAGCTTGAATTTTCTATTTTACAATAATACACTAATGTTGCTCTTAAAGCAATCTCTCATACATTTGAGAACAAAACCCACACAGAACTGAATGGGAAACCTTCAACCACTCAGAGCTGCTGTTTCATGCTCTCTGCAGCCAGACACACTAAAACATCACCATCTTCACACTGGTTTCTTTTCTTGAAGATCAGATTTGCCTTTTAAGTGTTTAATTAATTTCAGTCTGCAAATCTGAGTGGAGGCCTCCAGACAGAAGCTCTTAGCTGTAAGCAGATGAAAGCTGAACTCCTAGTCAGACTTCTGGCACTTCAGAAATTATTTCAAGTGGTTAGGCTCTAACAAGCTGTACAAAGCTAACTGAAAACAGCAGAAAGAAACTCCAGAAAGAAGAGGCAGACTGATTTTGAGTAATCAAAGAGTTTAAGCACTTTGTAATCATTCGCCTAAGGAAGGTGAGACTCTAAAAGAAAAACCTTTGCAAATAACTCTAAATGTGCAATAGACATTCTAAAATTTTAAGTTTCATATAATTATGACACAAAAAGGACAATGTTTGATTGTACTTAACAATAGACGTTTTGCATGATGATAGAGGTACTAGTGAATCAGGAAAATAAACACATGGTCACAAGAAGGCAGCTATGTAACTGACTGCTGGAGTCTTTCCCCCACAAATTATGGCCTAGCTAAACAGGAAAAGAAATTTAAAATAAATCATGAGCATAATGAACATTTTTACCAAGGATGCAAAATCTCCAATGGTGCTTCTGATTTCCAAATGCCTCTGATAGCAATTCTGCTCTGGCAGAATGCACAGGTAAAATCAACACAACACACGTTGGCATTTCCCATCTCAGCTAACCAAACATTAAATGTCCTTAGAGAATGCTGAATTAGCAGCACGGTATCATTTTTTGGTTACACTTAAACATTCATATCCTTCCAGGTAAGCCTGTTCAAGCCCAATTTCTTGAACTTTCACTTATCTGGTATTCAGAGCGTTACTGCTGTCTGTCTTGCTGGAATCCTGTTTATAGGACTGTACACTACAGAGAGATTAGAAGCTAAAAACAGCAGGCTAAATTGAGTATTAATGAATGCAAATAAATGCTCACTGGGGAAAAGCCAATTCTCCTATATATACACACTGACAGAAATTAAATTATTCAGTAACCTTCAGAGTAGCCCTTAATGTTAGTGGACAGTTCTATGGAATGACAGCTCAGCATTCAGTGGTACTTTAAAAAATAAATTAGAAATTAGTGGAAAAGAATGACTACAAAAATCAAAGCATAATTATGACAGCATGTACATTTCTGGTGTGCCTGCATTTTGAACACTAGTTGCAGCAGAACTAGAGAATACAGAGAAAAGCAATAACAATGAGCACAGATGTGAAATGCCTTTTGTACAATATGGTATTAAGCCATGGCTTTTCCTCTGGGAAAAGAGACAGTGTTTGGAAGACACACTAGAGGTCTGTAAATTCGTGAGTGGTATAGGCAAGACAAATAGGAAACAGTTGTTCATCTCTTCTCAGTTTAACAGGCAGAGAGCATTACCTGAAGTTATTGGACAGCTGGTTTAGGAAATCACAAAATGAATTGATTTTTCCTACAAATTAAGTTGTGGAATCCATTGATATTAAGCATGGTAAATACTATGTGTTTAGCTGAAAAAAAAGAAAGTAGAGAGAAAGCCCATTAAGGGCTATTAAGCACATTGATAGAAGCTCTGATATTAAAAAAAATCATCAGGAAGGATACAATGGGAAAAGAGCACAGTCCAGCCATGTTTCCTTCCCTGCCTGCTGCAAGCACCCACTGCCAGCACTGCTGGAGAAGGCACTGTGTCACAGCCGTTTGGCACTGCACCACCTTCCTCCAAACACAGACTCACCTCTCCACTGTGAGTCATCCATGCTGGGAGAAATGCAAGCTTTCTGCAGTATTTCAGGAGTATCCTAACTGCCATTTTATAGATGAAAAAAGAAAAAGCTGAGCTTTCATTACTCCTTCATGGGGGCAGCACGAGAGCACTGTTCCTAGCATTGCTGAAAAGGTTGTGCTGGTATTCCAGGTCACACTTGCAATCTAAATTTTTTAAGATCAAAACCAGAAAATTACTTGCCCAGTGTGGACAGGTCCACAGCTACCCAAGAGCAGCAGCCACATGCTCAGGAACTGCCCCTGCAGCCATTAGGTGACTGACAAGAGCAAGCTCACAAATTCCACCACAACAGGTACAGATGCAGGCTGAATGTTCTGCAAGGCCAGAGACCTGGTTAGGCTGTCTCTGATTCCTGCAACTCATTCTTTTCACATTCAGCCTTTGGCTTGCTCAGACTTTAACTACCAGGGAGAGTAACTGCAGAAACTACAAAGTATAAAAGTCTAAAAATGCAGACTGAAAGACCTTTTGGGTGGAATAATTCAATGACTGGAAGACTTAATGCATATTGCATGAGTGAATTGACTAATCATTTTAATGCACAATTCTCTTTTCTTACCCCTTCCTCTTCCACACTGACTATCTAAAGCAGGAAGAAGTTAAGGATTACAGGAGGGCTGGCCATGGGAGTAAAAGGATTCATCCTTCAAACTCCAAATGGAAGCCCTTGTGTTGGCAGGATCAGTGCTGTGACTAACATGTTATCGCTGTACAAACAGTCTGTTTCATGAACTGTCAGTTTTTTCTTTATCCTTTAACAAATGTCAAATTGAAGATGTTTAATAGACATGTAAATATTGCAAACTGAAAACTAAATTAACAGTACTTTAAAGCAGCATTAATCTCACAGAATACATTTGCCATCTTTACGTACCATGTTGCCATTGGGTGACTAGCATGGTCTACTAAAATAATCCTAATGAGCTTCCTGAAGACTATTGAAGATAATTTTACAAGTATAGGAAATTACTCAAGAAAGAGAACATAACAAGAATGTTAAAATACCAAAATATTTCTTAAAGACTAGGATACAGAATGCTGACAAACGTTCCTTATTAAACTTTTTATTAAAATGGAGCTATTTTTACATATTTAAAATACTTTTCATCCAAATTATGCAATATTTATGAAAACGATTGTATGCGAATGCATAAAAATATGTAAAATCAGAGCTAAGCAATATAAAGCGATATATAGCGTGTTCCAAAATGTATTTCAGGACTAGAAAACCTGAGTGTTCTATAAGCTGGTTTCCTGCATTTCACTGATTTTAAGAGTAAAATTTAATAATGTATCTGATCTTATATAAAGCACTTTGGTTGGTACAAACTGCATGGAAAAGGCAGAGATCAAGCAGGGACAATCCTCAAGGCCTGTCTTCAGAATCTTCTTCCACATGAAGATCCACTGTTTGAGATGCTAGGAAGGACTCCCATGTAGCAAGGCACTTAAAAAAACCAAACACAGGTACATATGAGTACAGCAGATAGGTCACTGTAGAACTGTTAGCCAAAGAGAAAAAGAAGTAAAAAAAATAGCAGAATACGTACACACTGTCACAAGCTGCTTTTGTGGGACTACGGTAAGAGCAAAATATGGTTTCCTAGGCAGCTCAGTGATATGCAGAATGTGAGCTAACATGCTGAGTGAGCTGTAAAGGTCACTTTTACATAATGACAAGCGCACAGTGTGAGCATTGTAATTGTATGTGTTAGCATGGAAGATGCTAACATTAATTATGCTTTCTTTAATCTCTCCCTTTAGTTACAGGCAAAGATCTCTTCCAAATAGAAAGCACATTGTCAGGCACAGTTCCCTTGTAATCTCTACGGATTCCTATTGTATACTCAGTTTTCCTTCCAAGTTAAATTAAACCAGATTTTTTCCTAAACATGGAGAGAATTCATTTTTCCCCTGAGTAATGGAAAAGAAATGGGACCAGAAAGGCATGGGCTGGGATTAGGGAAATTGTCATCCTTACAACAAGTGGCATTTCTTTCCTCATGGAAAAATGTATTTATAACTGTAAAAACTATTTTTTAATTTGAAACAGCAAGACTAGAGGCAGTAGAACCATAAAAAAAAATATCCCCAAATGACTGCAGTTCAACTTGGCTTAAATGAGTGTTGGCAGCTTGGCAAACTATTCTAAATTATAGATTAGCATCGAGAGCCACGACAAGGTTATCACTAGGTAACCTATAGTGAGCTCATGATTCTTACTCAAAGCACCAGGCTTCTACTATTTCAAGTCTGCCAGTAGAACAGGGCAGGTAAATTCATGCAATAATTCTATTGTTCTGATCCTGTTGAAAAAAAGCCCTTGAAATGGAACTGTTCTAACAAAATTTCGACTTATACATTCATACCTATTGGTCTTGACAATGCAGCTTATTTACTGTGTATTGTACATAGGTTTTTTTCATGAGGAATATGTATTATTCACAATAAATAAGTCGTCTGAAATTTCTCAGGAAATATACATTAAAAGCTGGACAGCATACTCCATTTATCTGAACTCTGCATTAAATCAGTACCCTGAAAACAGCATAATTTCCTAACTGGAATCTTTTGCCATAAGCTATTCAAGCCACAGCAATTTGCTATGCCCAGCTACAATGAAACATGTAGCATCCATCTGTCATTTCTTAGGAGACATGGAAATTATGCTGCTTGAATTTACAGCCACCTAACTCTATTAGACATTTCTTGTGAATGACTTCCAAACTCTGCCATTAAATATGCAGATTTAATCATATTACATTGAAGAGCCTAGGTCCTGGTATTGCTGCATATCTATGTGCAAGCAGACGAGTGGGAGGATCTGATAGTCACGAATCATGCTGAAGTATAAGCTTAAAGAGCAAAATGAAGAAGACACACAGGATGACTGGAGCTGGAGGAGTCCATGGTGACATGAGGATGCAGAATCAGGGATACCTATAAAATTAGGGGTGACAAAAGTAACAAGGAAAAACAAACAAAATTCATCAGTGGCTTTGTCTCTAAAGACATAAGAAAGCAGAACATGTGGGCCTACAAGATAATGAAAAGTGGTTAGAACAGTCACCTGAACCAAGAGATCATAAAAAAGTATGTGAGAGCTTATTTTTGGTTGTTATCAGGCATGTTAGAGATCATTCCTGTTATTCATATATTGCCCCCTCGACTTTGTATACCATGAATCTACTCCCCCAATCTTTCTTTTCTGATCTTGCTGACAAAAGCCCCAACTAACTTCTGCTGCTATTGCACACAACAACATTCTGCTGCTGCTCAGAGTACATCCAAGGTTTGAATCAGTGTGAAAAGAGAGCACTAACAGGATGAGATTAATGAGGAAATCTGTTTAGTTCATTGACTTTTTGGAGAAATGGTATTTTGAAATGGTACATCAGGGAGAAACAGTGCAAATACTGCTAGTACGAACAGTGAACTGCAAGTGTTGCAAACTGATTTCTGACTTAAAAGGTCTTTTTGACCTTTTGTATAAAGCCTTTCAGGTTTGATCATCAGCTTCTCCCCTACTTCATGTGACACTGTGGCAGCTGAGTCTATCCGAGATGCCTGAGCTGCAATGTGGCATCTTGATTTTCAAATGTCAGTGAGGCAGCTGCTAGCAATGTGTCTTCACGGTGGCACTCACTCCCATCAATTTCTGTTTGCTAGAGCCCAGCCTGGATTACCATCCTAGAAAGCTGCAAGGCACAGCTGTTTCCCTAGGCTTTTTCTAGGTGTGGGACAAGAAAACATCACTGTTTCTTGAAGAGTCTTCTTTTGTTGGCAACGGTATGTATTTTTTCTGAACCGCAGTTTAATTTATACCATGTCACTCCACGTTTTGCCATTCTGTAATTTTAGTAACGTGAATTAAACTACATATATCAGCACTGGCTGAAATGTAAAAATGGCTTTGTGTTATCTGTGCAGCACTGAGCCAAACTGAACGTGTTAAAATGCAACCACAGTATGTTGCTTAACCAGATAGATACAATCTACTGAAGTCTTTCCAGACCAAGATGCAAAGCATTTTTTTTCACACAAGTTATTCAGTTTTTAATTTACCCTTGTTTATATAACCAAAACACATTTTTCAGAATGTAAGAGCAATGGTGGCTCATTTCACTGTCAGACATCGCAGTGCTGCTACAGCTGACAAGTTTTATAATTAACCATACCAAAACAAAACTAGGTCTCTGTGCCTTAGGCTCAAGCTTTTCATATTGTGAAGCATGAACTGCATAAACGACATTTTGTTAGTGATGTGTACTTCAACATTATTCCAGAATGGTTTACTTCATTCTCCTGGGAGGTTGAAAATGGAGATCTAAATAGAGGATCATCCAGTTTTTACAAAGGAGACAGAAAGGAAAAAAGCCCCAGAAAATCCAAACCCAGGAAATTAAATGTGTTTGTAAGGGCTTGAAATTCATAATCCAATTACTTGTAAAAGCCCAACAGATGATATAGAAAACCTAAACACACAAACTGAAATAGCAAGAGCTTAAATAAGGCTACTTTACCTAAAATATTCTGCTTACTACTGCAGGACACATATCTATTCTGCAACACCATTTTTAAAAAGAACAGCAAAAAGGTTTTCATATAGTACAACTGCATATCTAACTCAAAAGGAGATAAAAAAAGAACATGTAGTAAGGATGCTACCAAAAGCAGTGTGTCACAGTCCATGTGTGTTTCTGTTCCAGTTCCCTGTTATCCATGGCTGATACCTTAAAAATGTCATTTATCATGGCATATTTTGGAGTAGAATCTGAAAATGAAGTCTTGTTTGAGTCTGAGATGCAAAAAATACTTTCCTAATTTCCAGGTGCAAGGAAATAAAACCCAGAGTGCATAGAAACAGTCATTCCCACTATAAAAAATGTCTTCCTAAAATGATTTAAAATGTTATGGCTGGAGTAAATGAGGGTTCAAAGATGGATCCTGCCCTTGAAGTGACATGCACAGAGATAAATGGGCTCAGCCATGTGGGAGCTTTTCAAAATCACATGAAGTTTGTTAGCTGAATTCCCAGGCATTGCTAAGGTAGGATGTAATCAACATGCATGAGCAACTAACTTTTTGCAACACAACCAAACGATGAGTTAGATGCCTCACTAGAGGCCTCTACAGCAAACAACAAATCTCATCTATTTTTCTATAGCTTTTACTAGACTGAGAGGTACACAAGGGCTTTGGAGTTAGAGGGAAGTTGTTGTAATGTGGAATGAGTATTGTTTTGCCCTAATCAATCTTTTGGATCAATTTATGTTGGTACAACAATGTAAGTCACAGAAGTATACTAAATTATGCTTGAAATAGTTAAGAAATTCAGGAATTTATTTATATTTTTGGAAAAGAGTAAGGTGTGTCAGTACCAACAAGAATCTGACTATATCAAAGGTAATGTTAGCTTTTTATCTGATTAAGCCAGAGAAGTTTAACAGGATTAGTTTGACATGATAAGTAAAATTAGATGCTATGCTTTAAAACGAAGGTTCATCCATGGCCAAGAAAAAACATGTTCTTTCAATGCCAGAACTAAATAAGTATCATGCTACATTAGGATAAACCACCAATCTACCTGCATTTACTCCAGTGCTTCACGAGCACTGGGAAAGCAAACTCTGGTATATTTGCTGATTTACAATGTCTAGCTAATCTTTGGATCAGGCTGCAAAACCTAGCCACTTATTCTGGCATTTTTTTCCTGAATAGGTTAACAAAGTTCTTTGCTGAGAAAAAAATGAAGTGTTTCTTTTTGTTTGATGCTGTAAATAGCCTAGTGACTATAATAAACACATGAGAAAAAAAGGAAAAATATGTTTAATTGCTTTTGCTCCTTGAAGCCGGAGTTCAGCATCACCTGGTTTGATTTTGCTAGTTTGTACCAGAAATGCTTCAAACATACTAGCTAAATAATACTACCATCACCACCACCACTAACTTTGTATCCTGCTTTGGTTTTATAATGCTGTATCTTTAGAATACCTATACCTACATTATTGAAAACACTTGTGGTGCCAATCAGCTTTGTCAGCTGTAATCTCCACCCTGTGGACATTTCATGATTTCAGCTGTTTGGCAGATACCTCCTCCAGACTAAGGTGTGTTATTTCAGACAATAGTGTCATGCCTGAGGCATGGGGAAAAGGAATGAAATAAATGGTACAGTGTTAACACATGCTTCATTCAAGAACTTTTCTCTGTAAGGCAAACAAATCAATGCCACTTACTTCAGAAATAGGAGCAAAGTTCTGAACTTTTAAAAATTAAAACCTTTTCATATTGTTTCAGAAAATTCTATTTTAGCAATGCATTCGCAGTCATTACTAATACAGTATTTTATTGGCTTTAAGCCTTTGTGGAATACAGAGAGACTTAAGAATGCATTCAATTCTTTTCCAGAGCAAAGAAAAGGAAGTAGAGAGCTCTATGAAATCTTGAGACCAGCTACAGGAATACCAAGTGATTGGTCAGTCATGGTAATTCTTGGCTACTAAATGACATTATATTGAAATGTACTATGACATAGCTTGTACATTATCACAGGAAAGTCTTCATTCTCACAGGCCTGCACAGGAGCACCCTGTAAATTTGCAACACTGGGCTTTAGTTCATGTCTTTGTTACTACAGCATTGAGAGACACGAAGAGATTGGTGACTCCACAGCTGTAGAAACAAAGGAGCACTTTGTATTTGAGTATATTAAATGCAGATAGTCAATAAACTGGAAGGCTATAGGAATAACTCTACTTGAATTAGTAAATCTGGAGAAATATAATTACAGGTAAGACTTTAAAGTAGCACTTCATTAATGTGAACATTAATTCAGCTTAAGGGAGACATACTCCTTTATGCTAGCTAAATGATGCTTGACAAGTTGAGAGCAGAATCCTTAGGCAACTACAATTAAGGAAAAACCCAAACAAACATAAGGTCATACTCTTGCCCCATATTGTGACGAAGAAGAAACAACATTTTAGAAATTCTAGTGTACTTTGACACACTGATATGATGTACTTGATCACACTGGCTTGTTTCAGTCTTGAAGGACTGGATTCTCTAGCACAAAAGCCATCAGAAAACATGAGGTGTCTGTCTCTTGTTACTCTGTAGTTCTCAGAAATTTAAGGGATGCACAGAATGGGCACTAACAGGAATGATTCCTGGGTTAGTTGTGCGACTGGGAAATGAAGTCAGCAAGGGGAATAATGAAGAGGATGGCAAAATGCTTCTGTAGAGAAGGGAATGGGACACTGCACATGGAGAGGCAAGAATAGGAGTTTAACTGAGGGGTGGGGGGAAACTGGGGAAAGGAGGAGAATCAGGTAGCGACTAAGTTAGAAAGCAAGGGATGATTCCTCGTAGGAGATGGACAGAAGAGCTGGGCACCTGAATCATATCCATGGCATCCATGGTGCCTGAGAAAATCCACAGGACATGCTTTGGGAAAAAGCAAAGGCAAGAAATAAGATGAGGGATGCCACAGCAAGAAAAGGCTTAGTAAGCATCAAATGGTGCATCAAAAGCATGAATGAGAAATTTAACTTTAGACGTGTGAGAGAACATTAATGATGCAAGTAATGACTGAACAAGTGAAAAACACTGTAACAGGCACTGTTTGTGCATGTGTTTAATGAGTTAGACTCAAACTATTACCTTTTAGGTAGGACATTGTTTTCTACTGAAAGCATAAAAATAATATTCTGCTTAGGTTTCTGAGATTCCCTTTCTGAAGTTTCACTGCCAAACACCAGGAGCAGATGCCAGAGCTTCTTTTTCTGCTGCTTTCAGGAGTGCATTACACACCTGTAGTTTGTAATCTAAAGGGCCTCTGAGAGTAATCAGTAATCACTTCTCCAATAATTAACCGTGAGCATTAACCACAGGTCTCAAATAAACATGCATATTTTAGATCAAAACTCTCAATCTAAATACTCATTTTATGAAATTCTCTTGACTCTCAGGATTAAGATAATGATTTTCTGCTAAAACAGGAAGACGTTGGTAAGCCCTCCCTTCGCAAATGAGGAGTGATAGCACAGTGTTGTTTATTATTGCAACTGCTGCAGCAAGATAAGGTGTTTTTTCTAAAATCTACATCTACACAGATGTAACAGCAAAAACATTTTATGCATATTTAAATATTCAAGAAAAGCACCAACATGTCTTAGTATAAACCAATTTGTCCAGTATTTCAGAGACTATTTAAGACTACTCAAGTACAGTATGAGCATTCTTAATTAAGCTTCTAATTCAGCAAAAAGCAGTTCTAGACAGGAAAAAGAATCAAATAACTATTTTTGTGTTTTAGCTAATCATTCATAAACAAAATATTCCAATATATTCAGCATTGTTTTAACATACATTTTGCTGATACAGAAGTCAGAGACCATCAATAACTGAAGACAATGTGAGAGGGTGCCAAGAGCTTGCTGCCTGATTTCAGACAATATTTTGATCTTAATATGTAACAACAGATTGTCAATGTCCATGCATCTCACAGACTGCATGTTAATTAATTAGACTTGATGATCAAGAGTTCTGTCTTTTCGATTATGTTTTAACAAAATGATTTGTAAAATCAGGACACAGTCATTGGCTACCAGGCAATCCATTTTATGTTCAGGCTACATGACTGGAAGTTACAGATATCAACATATATCTGTGGAAATTCCTAATTTATGATCAATAGATGGCTTAGTGTATTCTTGTGTTTCTTCCTAAAATAAGGAGAAATTCTTTGAAAACTTCAAGACATCTGGGATATTTTTAAAATGCACATTTCAATTAACAACTTGTTCTTCATTCACAGAATGCTTAACGTGTTTTGTTATGTTTTCAAGCTCTCCTTGTTAGTATCTGTTAGTAATGTAAAAGGAAATTCTTATCAAGAATATTACCCGTGGCATTCGAGCTGAAAATAAAAATGTGATGGAATTGAATTGAAATGTTTTCCTCACACAGGAGCATTTACACAGGTTTGAGCCTTCCAGAGGGCTTCTTCATGCAGTTACAGCAAAACGTTTCCAAACTGAAATATAGCAGCTGACATTGAACCGAAAAAATATGTTCCAAATTGTTGTGGTTAGTAAAACAAGAGTGCCCTCTGTCGATGATGAATTCAGGATCGACAACTTGGGCACAAATAAAATGCATTTTACTTGAAATGTGTCAGATTAAGGATAAATGCCTCTGTCTTCCCACAAAAACTGATTCTGAAATTAACACGTGTTTGAACTAAAAGGCAAAAATGCAAAAATTCCTCTTTCCAGATAACCCATGGACTTCTACACTAAATAATCAATGAAAAACTAACATTGCTGTGAGAAACAGTTTTACCTCTTCATAATAACGGAGATTATTCTCAGCCACATTAGTGAAAGTTGATCTCATATCACACTGCATGTTCTGCTTCCACCTGTCCCAATCCACTTTCAGGGCATTATTGGCACGTTCAAGTTTATCTTCAAGTTTCCCAATCTCCTCTGAGAACTAAATATGAATTGTAAACATTAAAAAATATTAGGAAAGTCACCATTTCCCAAATTATCAAAATCAAGTGATTATAGTAGAGGCAAACAGAACTGCAGAACCAAAACTGGTATTTAACAGCACAGAAAATCATTCCCCAGAGATAAATTTAATTTTCATTCTTAATTAATAACTCACTACAATTTCTGAAATATTAATAACAAATTCTAGACCACAATTAAAGTGTTCCTGAAGACTGGCTGAGAAGTTACAGACTCTGGCACTCTTCGCTAGCACTTGACAGTAATACATCTAAAAAGAAAAACACAGAGAACTTTACTGAAGCAAAATCAACTTCACAATTTAGATTTGGCCAGAAAAACAGAGAAAACCCTGAAAATTTTTGATAACCTCAGGAGAAACCAGAACAGGGAGAAGACAGCCGAAATCAAAGGCACACAATTTCTGATTTCCTGCCTGTCACCTTGCCATCTTTTCTTGTGGAACTGAAGTCTCTGTGACCATATAAGCAAAAAAGAAACACAGAAGCAGAGAAAGAAATCAAACCAAAGGAATTCTGCAGAGAAGAAACTCTTTCACAGCAAACCAGGATCCAAAACCTTGAGGGCTACTCTACAGACATTAGTTGTTTCTAATTACTGTAGATGTACAAAGTGACTTTTCAGCTAATGAGAATGAGTAAGTGGACAGAGGCCCTCTCTTTAATGAGTTTTCTAGTCTCCTCAGTGATTTTGTTACCTATTGTCATTTACTAATCAGCAGTGTCAGTTCTGGCTGGCACCCAGTCACAGAACGAGGTACATCTTCTGCAGCTACAGTGAAAATTCGTCTGCTGGGACTGCAGAGTGACCCTGCAGCAGGAAGGGAAGTCAGGCACAAACATCACCAATAAGGAACACCAAGCAGAAAAGGTTAATTCCTTGTATTACTTCCATTACAACTCAGGTCCCATACACATATTCCTTGCATTATGCTGTCAGGAAAGTAGTTTTTCCCTCATACAACAATCATGTGAAAGTTGGATAGCTACTCATGCTCTCTGCAGAGATGGTGTTTTCATTGATGGTGTTCAGGATTCCAGGATTAACTTCCAGGATTTTTAAGGAATGCTTATGCTACTGGCTGAACACAGAAACATCAAAGTTCAGAGCAGGATGTGGAAAGTCTTGGTGCACAGCATTGAGCTTGAACCATGCAGGGGAGAACAGTGATCCAGTGCAACAGGCAGCAGTGCTGCTGCCACCAGACACAAACTAAGCTGCACGGCCTGAAATGGTCACAGAACCTGGATCCTGTTCAGTTTGACATACTGGAATCCTTTAGTTCTTACAGTACCAAAAACTCCCTATGAAAAACTGAAAACCGCAAATTTCATCTGAATTGATGTTCTCTACATTCCATAACAAATATTTTTAGCTAGACTTGATTTCCACATTGATTTTCTTTGCCACACTTCTAGGTTAATGAAATACTGGTTATTAATCAAGAATAAAATGCAAAATATTATTTCTACTTTACTGAAAAGCCCAAGTTCAATTACCTGGCCAGACCAATCAAGCTACAGACAAGGGTAATTTCAACTACCAATACTGTATTCAACAAGAAAAGGTCAATCCAAACTCTAAATGTGGAGGAATTACCTTTAAAGGAATTACAGACAGCTGGATTTGGTATCTTGAGCATGTCTCAAGATAACTCCCTGTCCTTCAAATACCAAAAAATGAATGCACACAGAATACTGAAAACAGTGAATTTTTAAAGATGATTTCAAGTAGGAAAAGCAGTTGAATACATTTTCTGCTTTTGCAAAAATAAAAGTTCCTATATTCCTTGCACTACGCTATACACTTATAGACTTCTATGACTTAGAAGTCCTGGCTGGAGCAGCTTCCCCATATCTCATTCTTCATATCTCTAAGTAATTTATTTTACAGTTTGTTTTTGCCTGGCCTTTTCTAGGAACTATGAATTTCTTCCAGTGTAGTCACAACATGATGTGGACAGGCAAATCTGTTCTACATCCCTGCCTGAATATGCAGTTTAAACATCCCCCTCTAAAGCCCCAAAGAAACCATGTGTTCTGTCAAGGCAAGGGTTGGACTTCAGGTCTAAAGACAGCATTATGCCATGTGACATCATCTCAAGTAGAGATTTAAGATCTACTTTTCCAAAACTAAAAAGAAACATAAATGCCACTTTCTTCAGCTTTCATGACAGCAGAAATCAAAGAAGAATAGCTTGGTCTAAACAAAAACATAGACCTAGCATGTCCCTCATTTACAAGGTGTGAATTGTTACAATTTATCCTACAAATTAAGTATGATTCTGAATCCATTTTCTTACACTGATCGCACTGAGGCAGCTAGTGTGAGAAATTAAATCTCACATCAGAGATCTCCAGAGAAGGGCACAGTGCTAAGAAGCACAGTGCTAATCAGACATCAGACCATGGGACAGGAAGGTGAGAGCAAGACACTCCTCGTGCAGAGTGCTGCCAGACATGAACAGTGTGACCTGTAGCAAAGAGACCTGGCCCAATAGCCAAGTGACCTGGTAAGTGACACTGCATTTTACACTATCTCACCATGCAAAATAGCATGAATTTCTGTCTGCTACGTGAATTAATCCTACAGCTTGGTGATACTAATTCCTATTTAGCCTGGAGTTAAAACACAAAATATATTCCAAAAGTGCATTCAGCATTTCATCTCTTTACTACTCAGTTTCAAGCCTGAACACGAGAATCCTTAAGTTAGCATTTAATGCTTATCTGGTTCTGTCAGAGCACATCATACCAACCTTTTGTCAGAATTACTATTAGCACTTGTGGCAGCACTTAAACTGTTAAAAATGCCCAAACCACAGAGGGATGAGCTAGCATTGCTGTGTAGCCTTCAGATGGTGCGTGGGAGCAAGGGAGCCACATATCCCAATGTCTTTACAGCCAGAGCTCTGGAGGGTCTGATAAGCAGGAGGATACCAAAGTCCTCCCAAATATCTGTCAGAGCCTGAATCCAAAATCACAATTCTCAAATCATCCATACCCTTAACAACTGCAACCTTTGTGGACCAAATTTTGCAGTGGGAGACAAGGTTTTGGCTTTTCAGCAGCACCACAAGCAGCTTTCTAAAGGCCAAGTGGCAGAAGCACAGCTCCAATGGTTTTTCCCAGCCGATGAGCCTGATGTCTCATAAGGTTTAATTTGTGATTCCAGCCTATTTCATCTGCACTGACCTTGGGGATGTTTTCATTCTTCTGCTGTTTGTTAAATTATTTAATGTTTGCTGTGACCAATGCTAAAGATCTCACAGCCTTTTATTAGCTCTAATGACAGTCTGAGACTCCTTATCTATGGTGGAAATGTACTTCAAATGAGATTAGAGTTCATGCCACTCATTGTCAGCAAAATTTCTGGCTACTAGATTGCACTGACAAGCTCAATCTGACATCTATGAGATCATTAGAAGCTACAGGAGTACTGTTTAGGAATAGAAATGTGCAAATACACCCAAACTCAGTGTTTGACACCAATTCCAATAACAGTACCTGTGTTATGACCACCTTTATTTTGAAATCAGTCTGGTTAGAAGTGTCAAAAATATTTCAACACATAATAAAAATTAATACATAGTAAAACATAACCAAGAAAACAGTTAAAAGTCACTTGAAAGGTTAAAAATAGCAACACACCATTCTTTGTGGCCAAACTATCCTTAATAGAAAAGGCCTTGAGCTTCTAATTATGAAAAAGTCTTCAGGATACAGCTGGCACTCAATTACAGAACACAGGACTTTATGATCAGATTAGACTAACAGACATCTGGTTTACTGCTCTTGTGAGTCTGCAAGGAGAAACAGGCTCTCAGAAACAGGATTCTCTGAAATGAATAAGAAATAGAGGGGCTGGAAAGATAAAGCAAAGATCTGAACACCTGGGTAATCACACTTCTGGCTTTACCAAAACTGTAAATCCAGATATGGAATCATAGAAACAGTGAAAAAAATATAAGTTTGGGCAAACTGATCTCAGAATTCTACTGGAATCAAGTACAAACATCTCATGATGGAGTCAATATCAAATCAACATGGTATGATCAATACTATGCTAAGGTAAAAATATTCCTTTTTTATTGTAACAGTTGAAGAAAAGGAGGTGCATGCACCTCTGAAGACTCCATCAATTTATAATAGCAATACATTCTGAAAAAAACCACATCCTGCCAGGCAGTGTTCTCTTGTCTACAGTGGACAGCAGCGAGACTAGCTGCTAAAGAAGGTGCATGAAACTGGAATTTGTCACTGAATGGACCTGCCATTGCTACCCAACTCCCAGCCTAGGAGACTTCTTCAACTTACCATCCTCTTTGCATTTTACAAGAGCTTCAAACTTTTAACTAAGGAAAAAGGACAGGAGAAACGGCAAAGGAAGTAGAGAAACAAAACCAGGTTAGATAATACAAAGGCAGAGAAATGATGGGACAATATAAGTAAACAGAATTTCTACTTCAGGGAAGAAAACCCCAGAGATATTTACTTAATCTCCCACTGCAATACACAGAGGCAAAGTGTTATAAAGTATACCATAGCCATTGTAGATATCAGAGAGTGATAATATATTCTTATTTATTCTCCTCAGTGACAAGAAATCAGATGAAAATATGCACTTCAAGTGCCAAAAACTATCTAAACAGCTCATCTTTACAGGAAAGCTAATTAAAACAACCGTAATAAAAAGTATCTGAAATGTCAAGGACTTTCTCCTTTGATGTACAAAAAAGTTATCAGTCATTTTTATATGTAATTTACACTGTATAAGACTTTGTGCTAACACTGTGCTAAAAGGACATTATTTAGGTCAGAGAATTAAGCAATGAAAAATTTTACAAATCCTAATACTCATCCCCAAAGTTGCTTTCAACTGGCTCACTGAGCCTTGCTGATGTTTTTAGGGATGCCTTCCTGCATTTTACAGTCTGACTTCACTAGAATGAAAGAAACTTTCATACCGAAGTAAAAAAAAAAAAAAAATCCCTGGGCTGAATTAAATAAAACAAAAACCTGAAAGGACAGAATGCAGAACATTTTATTTTAAATAAGTTTAATGAACAGCTTTGATGATTCTCACCGCCTGCTTTCTCTCTCCTACATCAATGAAGCAGCAGCTACAAGAGCACTGCAGCAAGTCTTACTTTCTTGTACCTCCAAGTGTGGAAGTAAATTGAAATGCTAAAAATCAGCTATGGTACAGTCTGTGTTGACAAAACACAGTGGTCACCCATTATGACAAGCCTTTGGCTCCAGCAGCTCATCATCTACTGAAGTGTTTCATCTTTCTCATGACTGCCTTTGCCTGGCACATATAGCCTTGAAGACCAAACTTTCCACAAGTATGAGAACTGTAGAGACACTATCCAGTTACAACAGTTGGCTTCAGAGGACACACTTTCATTGTCTGCAATTAGAGTAAGGCTTGGAAGATTTCAGCTTTATATACATACTCACCAGATCCTTTTCTGTCTTTTTATTGGCTAAAGCATCAACTTTGGAATCAAGCTCGCCTTGAATTTGGTCTCTCCTTTTCAAAACACCCTTAATATAGAAGAGAAAAAACAGAAGTAAACTGCACCAAATTTTAGCCATTTTTTTCAGAAAATTATCAAACAACTTGGCTATTTAATAAACAAGATCACAGAATGATGCCGTTTACTCATTTTGACATGATACATGTACTTCTGTAAAAAAAAAAATTAAAATCAAGACTTACTTTTCCATACCTGTATTTTATGCACTTTTTCAACATTAATAAAACTTAAAATCAGTCCTGCAAGAATCTGCCATACACAGTATCATTGCTAGCTGTGTGAGAACTGCAACAGCTGTTTACGTGCTATCAGCTCATCTTATTATATATTCATATTTTAAAGCAGCAACATGAGTTTGCCAAATCTCATGAACAAAAATATCATCTTTGAGTAAAATTTACAATATAAAGTAGAATGACTGAAACCAGTATACTGGGCATTATTCAAATTGTGACTTTAGCCTTTAACATTATTTCATAAGTGCCAAGCATATTTCTGAAAAATCAGAAAAAATATCACAAAATCATCATAGGAATGATACCTGTTTTACCATTGATATGTGTGCTTATTTTCAGCATATTTAATTATTACCTCCTTTAAAACTGCCTTATCAGGTATTGGGTTCTTAGCATAATGTCAAAAAATAATTAAAAGGGAACATTACTTGTTAAGCTACAAAATGGGAACAGTATTATAGATGAAATTTCCATTTCCAGTGCTCATTTGCTCTGAGACCTTGATGAAGCCTTACGAATTTCTCTTTGTCTAAGCTTTCCCTTCTGTAAAAACACACTCAGGTATGCTTATCTTGCAGAAGTGTTGCAAGGCTTTAGTTCTTTTGAAAAAGAATCAGAAGCAGGACATATATAATTACAAATCTCAAAACCCTCTTTTACATTACCTTGCCACAACTGGTTTTACTGCTTCTTCTGCAGAGAAGTTCAGTATTCACCTCTAGCATAGGGCATGTTGAAACAGCACAGGGCACAAGCAGCTCTACCTTCTCTAGCTCTTTTATTTGACTGAGTTCTCTTTGAAATCTTGTCACTTTATCAAACATGATAGAATAATTTGGGAGGTTAATATTCAAATAATTTTTCAGTGTTTCTTTCTGAATCACTATAAAAAAGGGTAAACATGACTGGGCAATTCTGAGTAACAGATTAGCAATATATACAAATGCTCATAAATGTATCTTTCAACAGCTCAGAATCTTTTGCTTAGATAAATACAGAAAATGTTTAGCTGTAAGCACAGAACCAAAACAAATGTCTGGAAGAGCTTTTCTTCATAATACAAATGCTTTCTCTTTTTTACTATTTCTTTTGTCTCTTTTAAAACTGTTTTAATGACTATTTGGTAATTTTTATCACAAATACACCTTAAATTACAAGACAAAACCAATTACTTTAATATTTAGATGCTACAACTACAGACATGCACTGACTTCTAATGGCAAACAGAAGGACTATGTCTTTAAAACATATTATTATACTTTTACAGGGTTTTGGTGTAATTATTTAATGGCATATTGCCACAAAAGCCTCACACAATTTTATGTGGACCCATAACCAATTAATGCTGTAATTTGTACCCTGAGGGACAACAGATTTGTTCGGTGCATCAGTTAGGAAGGAGCCAGTCCAGATGTAAGCATTGTAGCTAAGAATCATCTCTTTCCCCAGTTAAAGGCTGAACTCCTAACACTGGAAAATACAAGGATTGTATTGTATTGATCACACCTTGTTCTGCACATTTGTATGTGATCTTGGCAGCACCACACAAAGGTCCCTGCCATGAGGGGTTAAACACACCTCTGAAAGCAGGTTTTACTAGTGTGTGAATTCCCCAAGGTATTGTTAGCATTGACCAGTAGTTCCCTCTCCAAACTGCAAGAGGGAAGTAAGCTGTAGGAAAAATAAAAATCCATGGTGAAGGAAAGAAAAGGAACAGTTCTAGAACAGGAATGAGCTACTGAAGGAAGATTTTTCCTCTGGACAGAACCACGGCCTAATGCTGTGTTGCAAGTGCTGCATAAGAAAACTACAAGCAGAAAAAAAATGCAGAGGGGCAACAGCTATTTGTAATGTGTGCAGGAGGAGCCAGGCAGTCACCCTGGGGCTTGTACATAGAAACCTCTCTGTGCGCTGGACAAAACAGAACACCTGAGAAAGGGAGAGGGTGAGCCAGGCTGCAAAATAGAAGTCAATGGGCAGACAGCATCACTGCAGTAGCATAAAGGCTAGGGCTGCTCATGGGTAACAGAAATTATGAAAATTAAGCTTGGAAGTGGGGGAGAGGAAGAAGATCTGAACTTGCTAAGACAGTAATCTCTTCAGACCTACCTACCTCCATCTACCAGCATGTACATGTAAATAATGAGGCCTGTGAGATACAGGACATTTCATATGTCTCCTCTTTGAGTTTTAAAGACAGCAGTCATTGCAGCAGTAATTCCCAACCTCTTAGTAGCTAAGCCTTACTGAGAAACTGGCAGTGTTCTGCACAGTGCCAGCAAAGGCTCAGATAACTCGGGTCTTGCTCTACCCATGGCCTGTAACACACTCTCAGCCCCAACTCAGAAACCATTGCAGTAGGTGCTGGGCTCCCAGCAGTGGCACTGGGGATTGCAGTTGGCATTGCTCAAAACCTAGACAAAGAGGGGTTTGTACACATGTTCTGCTTTCTGGAGGCAGCAAAGTGGAATTATGACACACTGAATTCAGTGAATTATGTTGATTATTCACCAGCACTGAGTATATCAACTCTGGAGTCTGATTTTTTTACATTCTCTCCAAGTGTAAGAAAAATACATACATAAAAGGAACTGAGAGCAGCAGCTTATGGCAAAGACTAACACATGCTTATATAATGGTGCAGGGACTGGAAGTTCCCTGCTGTTCTGGAAAAAGAAAACATAGTTTAGGAACAGCTCCTAGAAAGGGAAAAACCTCTCAACTCCTTTTCCCCCACACAATCTGTTACTCGATGAGTTCATTTTCAGCAGTGTCAGAGAAGGTCTTTCTCAGCTGTGGTTCCCAAACCCTCTCTGCTACAATGCAGTGCTTGCTGAAGATGGCAAAAACAGACACCCTAGCACAAGTACCAAGGATTGCCTGCCAGGCAAAACTCTCAACTCTTCTTATTTGGAAGGGGCATCTCTTGCCTCATTAGCAAGGGAAACAGGAGCAACCAGATTCCCCACTAACAAACAGTTATCCTATGCTGTACATGTTCTGTAACAAGAGTAAACAGCAGGACTGTAAAGTCACTTTCATCAGCTACAGATTCTCTCCTAGACTTTGTCACTGGACCAAGCCAAAAAACAAATAAACAGCCATCAACAATCCTAAAGGAAACCTTACCATCAGAATTTCACTGTAGAGCACGTATTCGTGTAAAATGGGCAGCAGGTTTTCTGAGAGTCCTGCCATTCGCTTCTCCGTAGCCTTGCAGCACCTGTCGATGCAGCTGGCAACGCCTTTTAGGGAGTCTGCTACATCTTCTTCAGATGCTGACCAGAGTGTGTGGATGGGACCATACTCCTTCATTTCATTAAAGTAGTCTTAACAGGAACACATATGCACGTTACTCATTTGTTCATTAATTGATGTCTAAGTGATACTGTTTGCAACCTCGTATTTACTCTGAACAAAGCAAGAGACTGAGGCTAACGTTAAAATTTGCTCAAATGATCAAGATAAGTAAATATTCATTGTTTATGAATAATCAATTAATGTATTGCAATTAAGTAGTGCTGAGAAATCTATCAGCAAAAATGCTCCAGTCATTTCAAAAGGATACACATGCTCAGGTAGATCTCAAGGGTTGTAATTCAGATCACCCAATGACCTCAATTACTTCACGTCATCTTCATACAGAGCCATTGCAGCCCTGGGCAGCAGTCAGACTGACTTGCTTCTACTGCCCTGAATTCCTCTGCTTCTTGGAACAGTAATACTCTGAATCCTCTCTCAGTTATTAAAACTAGAAGCTTTGTTATGCCCCAAAAGCTTCAGAAGAAACACTGGTGTTCACTTCAGTTATCTCCTTTAGTAGTTTTTATTAATCTAAATACAAGGATATCCTATGAATTATTTCTCTTATATCTCTAGACCAAGTGATAATCTGTAAGCAGAGAGATGGCCCAGAATTCACTGTGCCATTTGGTAGGGCTAAATGTCGGCAAGGCTGGATATGAAGAATATAAAGTTTACTGGACATAAAATAACCCTCTATGGAAGATGTAATCAAGAATTCCATGTTAAGCTAGTGCAAGCAGGAAAAAATATCCACCATAGTGTGGCCCTGCACACAAGTATTCTGACTAGTGCTGTTTGGAAAATCTAGAAAGAAGATATAACCTACGGCATTTGAGAGCACATCAACATTCTTAAGTTTTCCTAGAAATATTTTGGCACTGATGCCTTTAACCCACGGACCTCAGCCAGCTATTTCCACTGAAAGGAACGATATCAAAAGGAACTCTTTTCACCAACATGTATTTTTCTTTTGTAAGACCCTTTCAATTCAGCAAGGACATGCTGAGGTCTGGTACTGCACAATAAAGCACAAGGGCTCAGTTATTAAAGAATACAATGCAGCTCTTCAAATTTTATTATATTGACAAAAAAATAACTCAAATGCTGCCCAGTGGAAATTCTACTGAACAGGTGTAGTCTGAGGTCAGGGTCATCTCAGAACCTCAGAGAAGTCAGTAATTTAGCATTCCAAGGGTACAAACTGCTGTTACTTAAGGAAAAAGTTAAGATTAAGCCATCCTTAAGAAAACTCTTAACAGGCACAGCTTACCGTGACAGAAATGATGGCCAACAGTAAAGCTATTTAAAAAAAAACCCAAAACCAAAGAAATCTACTTGGTCAACACAGAAAAGAGGTGCAGAATGAAACCAAAAAAAGGAGATGTTTAGAGATCTGGAATCTGACAGTATTATTTCAATATGAGGTCACACAGAAAACTACATTCTCTTGAAAGTACAAAACAAAAGGTTATGCAGCTTTCCAAAAAGCACAAGAGACAGCCATACTTACTACATTTTCTTCTTTCTGAGTTCCTTATAAGTACATGAATGACATGTTAAAACTCTTCCTATTAAGAAATTATTCAAACTAACTTGAAGGTCTGTCAAAACCATGACCATTAAGAAAAACACAGTATAAACATCAATCTCCCTTCTTTCTTCCCTGCTGGAAAGAAGATTTAGCCTGGCACAATGTAAACTCATTTACTTTGCAGTATATAGTGATTTCTTAAATCAATAAAACTGATACTTGTTTTCTACTTACCCCTTTCTTCCTTGTAAATTCTATGAGCTATTTTATCTAGTAAGTTTATTTTCTGACTAAATGTTTCCATGTAATCGTTCATTTCTGTAAACACTTCAGGACGATTTTTAACTGCTCCTCTTACTGAGGATGCTACAGCTCTGACGGTCTGTCCCATCCTGCTCAGCAAACCAGGACCCTGCTTCTTGTGTGAGGAGAGTTCCTAAAGACAGAATAAGCTCTGTTTACTTCCAAGTATTTTTTTTATTTCTATAAAATAATACATAAAGCTTTTTTTTTTTAAACAAAACTACATACATAACCCTCTCTGTGTCTTTTTAGTGACCCTGGCAGTGTTCAAGACCAGGCTGGACGAGGCGTTGTGCAACCTGATCTAGTGAGATGTCCCTGCTCATGGCAGGGGGGGTTGGGACTAGATGATCTGTAAGGTCCATTCCAGCGCTTAAATTCTATGACTCAATGATCAATCTTACATTGTAATTATTAGACCAGTGTCAGAACCATACCTGTCGTGCATTTATTAGCTAAGCCTCTCTGGGCAAACACAAGTGTGCCACGTATCACATCTCACAAGAACGGTTAAGATGGCAGAGAACCTTTACCCCTTCATTCCTCAGGGTGAGTTAGCTAGTTTGCAATTTAGCCTTTTGAACAGGAAAGCAGAGGTAATGATTGCAGAAATAAGTCACTGAGAAAAGCAAACAATGTTCCTACTGGAGGAAGTAATCCATCTATTTTCTGTAACTCTTTTTATATGTTGCTAGAATCACCTTTGCTGAGGTTCAGAGAGAGAAGCTTTTCTGAGTCCAAAACTCCAGCTGGCAACTGGACACATCTTGCAACAATGCAACAGCAAATTAAAAAGGCTATATTTTTCTTTTATGAGACTAGTATAACTTAAGGGAAAAAAAACCAGATGAAAAGGTGCCATGCCAAAATAATAATTAATTGAAAACACTATTTTTCACACAGTCTTGGAAGCTTATACTGAAAAGCATGCAGAATTGAAATACTGCCAGGAAAATCAAAAATGTAGTAACAAAAACTGCTTTGGAAGCTACAGCGATATTTATGGCCATGTGCATGATTACCACAACCACAGAAGAAAAGGTTATCTCAGAGTGTGAATATCCCATAAATCCCTGCCTTCTTCTGATACTCCTGTAACAAGCCATGGGAGGACAATATTGAACAGTGAACCAGGGAGACTCCTGATATACTCCACTAACACAAGACGTGGTTTCACGTAACTGTAAATAATAACAAAGTCATCTTACCCAGGCTTGTGCAGTAAGAAAAATTTTGAAGTCTTCATTAAAAGTTAAAGTTGGATGATCAGCAATACGGTTCAAAAATTTATGTAAAGCTTTTCTTCGAGTCTCAATGAATTCATCACTAAATCGTTCCACCATTCCCTTCATTATGAATTTTTCAGGCAATGGCTAAGGAAAAAAGAAGACATATATTGTATAATTTGCAAAATATTAAGGGTATTATATTAATTCTTCTTACTAAAAAACATAGGTATACCTTGTAAAACCCACCATGCAAAAACCCAAGAGCTATATAAAATTATCATATTTAACTGAGGTATAACATGGTTCTTGTAATACACAGTGCAGAAGAACACAAGCACAACTAAGAAAGGACATAAATCACTGCAAATGGCACAAAGAAATACCTTTATGTGATTTTAATTATCACATACGTATAAATTTAATGAAAATGAAATATGGAATATGTTGGTCAATGAAAATAAGTTGGCTTAATGTTTGTGAGACTTCAGAAACTGAAGAAAGACCTCAAACATCTCTGTATAAAACTGGTGCCATCTTATAAACAAATAAAAATAACTCAAGTTTTAGCAAACAAACAGGAATAATCAGTGTCGGATGTGCTTCTTCAAGTTTGCTCTTCAGCCAAAGGAAATCCTGATATCGTCTTCGAACTTCATATTCACTGGAGTCAAATTCACCACGGGATGTCTGAGAACCAGAGGCAGAAAAAACAGGCTTAGGTTAGAATACCAGAGAAAAAAGATCAATGCAGTTTTAGATTTCTGAGAAAACTGAGCACTTGAAGGGAATGCATACATGTTTCTATTTTGCCCCTGTTGTTTCTTTGCTGTTTTTAAAAGTGCAATGATCAGCTCCTTGAAGAGATAAAACACATCCTATTTCAGCAAGAAATCAAAGTCCTCTTGGGGGAAAAAAAAAAAAGCAAGCACTAAGCTGCACTTTGTACACTGACTTGCAATAATTATCCTACCACAATGTTTCCAAAATATTTCAATAATTACTTAAGCGTGGTGTCTTCTGTTTACCAATCACAGTTACGTTTATTACTTTAAGGACACTTCTTTTAAAGTGGTTAGTAATCTACAAGTGAGGCAAGTCCAATTTTTAGCATTGTGAACAAACCCCAGTGAGCTGACATACGTCCTTGGGACTTGCTGACACTAGTCAACAATTCCCGCATTGAAAACATGGAAACTTCAGCACACCATAGCAATAACACTTCCTGTGCTGTTTAATGGATTCTGCATCCCATCATCAATTCCAGTTTTGTAGCCCTTTGTTAGAACTTGCCAACAAACCTTTAATGCCTACAAAAAATGCTTATTACAGTGTTACAAAATTGTCAGACCATGAGATTTATTTTACCACTGCTCTGTCTTCTAGAATCAAGCCACAAAGAACCCATGTTTTCATTAATGTGTGCTACTTAGCATTCATTGTTGCACAGAGGTTTATGGTGTGATGCAAGGAAATTCTAAAAACCTCAAAACATACTTTTGTAATCTAAACATTTTTGAGGGTTGAATAAAATTTTTTCAAGGTATGTGGGAGGAATGCTATTACTTTATCATCAACAACCAGCACTCCAAATTAAATACGATAAGGAAGGATAGATAAAAAAGCAAAAGCAATCTACCTTACAGACCTTCCATACTTGCCTGAAGTAAAAATGTTCTCTAGTCTACAGAAACATGCATAAAGTGAAAATTATTGCTAGAAACCTAACGAAGATAGCTCTCTTCCTACTCTTTAAATATTTTATGAGGAATTGATATCTCCTCTTATTTAAAGAGGAATAATTCCCATTTGAAAATTTGGTTTTAAATGAATCTTTTAAAAAGAACTCAAAGTAAAATAACAGTGCAATTCTCAAAATGCAGCCTGCAGAGTATTTGCTGGTAATCTCTGCAGACCTGGCTGGTCTCACAAGGCTGACTCTCTTCCTTATTTCCTGTAAATAACTTGCAGTCAGGATAACCAAAAACACACTTCATTGTTTCCTAATATTACTCTTTCATTGGAGAATTGTGGCAGTTTCCCCAACTGTAAAATGGGAAACAAACACCCATGTGATAAGGGATGCTGCAATTAGAAGAGAATGGAATTGAAAGTCTGTAGTAGTTAACATTTATGCAAGACAGAAGACTGGTAGCCTGCAAGTGATCCAAAAGTCATAAATACTTGTGCTAATATAGTGTCTCCAAAATGAATCAGTTCTTCTGCTGTTTCATTTTCTTGCTGAAGATCACAACAGAAGATGTTACTCTCACATAGCACTCATTTTGCAGTTGTAAAATTATTAACTGTTTTCTCTACATAAAGAACCTAAGCACCTATGCAGACTTACACTGTGTTTCTTTCCAGAATCTACTAAAGTTTCATACAGTTTTGTCTATAACTCATGGCAAAACAGAGTACAATTTATATTTAGTAGCATCCCGGAGAATGGTATGCAAGAAGAGTGAAAATGCTGCTAGTGTTATCAAAGTAAGCCATTATAGCTATTATAGATTACCTTTGTGACTACTCTGTATGTAATAAAGGTTTCAATGGCTGTAATGTGGCTTTCAGGATCATCGACTGTAATGAAGAGATCTCTTAGTTCTGGTCCATCTTCAAATTTATACTGGTTTATCATTGATGAGGGGGATATTGGCATTGAAGGACTGAATGAGTTTACCTCAGCCAGAGATGTATCCTATAGATAAGACATAAGAACATCCACATCAATACATCTTTGTATACAAACACCTCTGTCTCACATGCTATAATGGCAAGCTTTTAAATAATCTGATGGAGCATAGAGCAGATGAAAGAATTACACAGTACATAGCAAATCTATTAGCCTTTTCAGTATCTGCTTCGGTGAGGATGTAAGACATGAGATTTATTCTAATACTGATGAAAGAGCAAAATACTACCATTTGAGAAGAATGTTATGCATAGCCAGAAAGAGAACTTGCCTATGAATGATAAAATTAGTTATGAATCCAAGCACCCATTAATTGTGTAGGTTACTTGCCAGCTCTATTAAAATTGTTAGAGGCCACTTACTGAGGACTTAGGTGGATAAAAAAAATACAATTTAAAAGCAAGACAAAATCCAAATCAGAATTTTTATTGGAATTGGATATTTTAGTTTGCATGTATTTTACAATGAAATTTGAAATGGAAGATGATTACAGATACATAAATTAATCCTTTTTTCCCTAAAGGAAAACAGTAAGTAAGGATATAGCTCAAATTTGCTGCTTAACTTTTTTTTTTTTTTAAAAAAGGCAAACCACTGTTTTGCTGAAGTGGAAAACCACTTTTTGATAGCATCAACCACTTCCACATAGCTCTCTAAGAATACATCCCCATAGCAGCTTCTTCTGCTCTGTGCATTCATGGTGACCACTCAAGTGCTGAGAAACAGAGTGGAAACTGGAAACAGGCAAGAAATCTCATTTTCTTCCTTAGATGCAAGTCTGGATGAGATCTACTAATCTAAAATCTTGAAGGATACAGTTACTAGGAAAATAAATTGAATTCACTAACTCCATAAAAGAGCATAACAAATGAATAAATCATTAGAAATGATAAATTAGAGCAATTGATATAAATCACTATGTTTTAAATATCAAATACTTATATGGGTTTTTAATATATCCAGTAAAATAAAGTATTTTCATAACAAACTTTAAAATGAATATATTTTCTAGAAGTTTTTAAAGGCATAGTTAGTCTACACTATTGGGTGGCAAAGAGTTGCCCTTTCCAGCACCTTGCTAACCAAGGAGGAAGGAGAAAAAGGATGAAGTTGAAAAGAAAACTGCTCAAATGCCAGAGGGGGAAATGTGTGAGCCCACACAAACTAGAGTCACACCATCATCCCAAGGCCAATCTCATGGGAGTGAAGAGCACACAACCATAGTACTGCTGAGCTTGGTGAGAGTTGCTTTTTCCCTTTGAATTCAACTGGATCAGAACTTTCTCTGGCACACCTCTTGTTCTTTTCCTGCCTTAAGCTTCGTTGCCTACTGCCATTCCTCTCCTTTGGATTTATCAATGTACTCCCACAAATATGGAGCAGAGATTTATACCAGGAATTTAGCCCAGACAACACTTAGTGCCAGTTCTCCTCCCATCACTTACATGCAGTTCTTTGAACAGGGAGACAAAAGCAACACAAAAGACTAAAGGCAACACTTTAAATATTATATAGTGGCTTACTTATACACCTGTCAGTCATTTTGCTTTTATTCAGCGTGTTTCTATGCATGATTTCTATAGTGGTATCCAGCCAGCATTCTTAGTGATGGAGAATAGATGGCCATGCTCTAGATGAAGAATGAGGACTGCTAGTTCAGAGCAGCCCCTGTGATTCAAAGTGCTGAGACGATGGGAAATTTCCAGGGAAAGAAAAATGCATGTTAAGCATGTAAGGGACTTCAATGGCCACATAACTTGAGGAGTGATGACTCTGCAAGGCCTAAATTGGATCAAGGTAAATGTGTTTTATATTTTCTCATTTTCCATGGGTCATTAATATCTTAATGTTTCATTCCTCCTTCCTGGTTGCTACTAAAAATTGCTCCACACACACAGGTTTCTAAAACTATATTTTTATGTGGAAGGGCTTATGAATATGTGGTTTGTGAAACAAAACATGGGCAATAAAAATCCACAGAATAAGCAGGTCTTTGGTTTTAATAAAGCTCTACTATCCATTTGCACATGAATGAATGCATATGACTTTTAAACATGCATCTGTCTCTCTTTCTTTATCCTCATGATACTTCAGGTTTTCTTCCAGCAGTTCCTGAAGTTCATGTGACCCAAGTCTGATGCCATCACAGAAACACAGTAAAAAAGAAAATTATGTTCTATACAGCTGCAATTTTGTGGTTGGAACTATGTTTTTGTGTGCATACAGATGAAGGCAGAAAGAGTTTTGTGGCAGAGGAGAAACAGACAATTCTTCTAGCTCTTGGGATGTGTAACCCTTTTGCTCTTCATCCATGCAAAGAGCATCAAGACCCTGTGCCAGAAAATGTCCTTTCCCACAACTCCCCCAGCCCCACCTACCTGCAGTACCCCTTCTCCTTTCCAGCCCTTTCACTCCTGCAGAGAAGTTGGCAGAGCTGTGTGTGCTAGTCCACAAACAGTTTCATGCCTTTTGATTTACTGGCCAAGAGACCAAACAGAAATCAACAAGCTCCTGGCAGTATGAAGGCTTTATTCAGGGTCTCCTTTCTCTAATACTTGCAGTTACCCTATCTCGTTCTCACATTTGACTGCAATTGGTCCGTAAGACTCCAAAATAAATTAAGGGAATGAAAACACTCATACAGCAGCAGCAGTCTCAAAATAGGCTGAGCACACAGCTGAGACTGCAGCTCTTTGTAAAAGACATTAAGCCTTGGAGTTTGCTTAAACACCGCTCTTTCACAGAGCACAGATCCTTGACTCAGGGCTGCTCCATGCCTCATCCATCCATCCCTACCTCCCAGCAAGGATCCAGAGCCTGCAATCATCAGAAGCCAGGATCCAATGCAGGTCTCAAGATAAGGGACATGATGACAGTTTGTCTTATAAGTGAATAGCTTCGTTGTTGGAGCACTCTTCAAAGAAGCAAAAAGAGATTCAAAAAGACAGAATAGTTCCTTGGCCAAAATTTCACTTACAAATCAGTCTCACATCCTTGTTGAACTTGTTTTGAATGAAAATCTTGCCTCTATGCAATTCTGAAGTGGAATGTACACCTTTTTCTGAAATGTCTTCTGTAATTATGAATTGCAGACAAACACTGTAAAACAGAGCTTGAAAGCAGAGCTGCTAAAGATTTTAAGTAATAACCAAAGTGCTGACAGCTTTGCCAACACTAGAGATCAGTTAACATGGAAGGCAGAGGATATCTGAATGGGTATTGCAATATACACAGCGATCTATACTTTGAAACTAATGCAAGAAAGCAGGTTGAAAATACTGTATCTATGTGACTCATAACTCGACCCCCAGAATTTGTCTCTACTGAAAAGAACTCCAAATTTTTTCAATGCTAATGGAAACTAGGAAATAGTGAAATGCACATCACATCATGAAATGCTTTGTCAGAGCTGCCAAAGAAGATGCTAGTCTGTAATATTTGAGATATGTCACAGGATACCAGGTCAGTGGTTTATGACACTATCAGGTTAAATGTCTATGGATTTTCATAAAATAAAAGCCCAGTGTTTACATTTTGAGTAATAACTTTGGGTATTGAGGTTGACAATTTTTAAGAATCTCATTTTTCACCATTTGGTAGCTGGCACATTGCACTGACTAAACTGAGAAAGATGAAGTCGACGCCAGAGGCAGGCACAGAGCTCTGCAGTGCCACTGCCATCCCACTTGGCCTAAAAATGCTACACCACTACTTTACAGACAGTGCCACGAGAAACCCCATTAAGATACAATTTAAAACAAGGTAGTCCTGGAACAGTACGTTATGGGAAAATTGGTTTTACAAAACTTAAGTCGGAAGCCACATTTAGCCTGTCAGTTTCCCTTGAATATATGGAATATGAACAAATAGGATGTAAAGCCCAAACGACCTCAAAGATTTTCATCAGCTCAAAATATCAGCACTCAAATTGCACCTGAAAACAAACCATGAATTTCTGGTCTATATATAACCACTACCTGCAGGTGTCCAAGCTTTGGAAAGAAGGCTGTATTTTCACACAATATGACAATTTTTCTGTTTGCAGAAATAAGTTATCATGTAGCATGCATTGATAGTAGTTAAAATGCAATATAAGGAAGAAATACTTGGCATGAATCCAGGTAGCAGAAATTTAAAGATATAGGTATTTTCCATATAGCAGCACTAACTTGTATCAACTCCACTTGTTTTTACTTTTTATTCCCAAGGAGTATCACTCCTGATAAATAAGCAGCATAATCATCAATACATGGTATTGGCAGGCAGATAGATACCTGCATGCAGAACTGCCTCATAAAAGCAAAAGGATTCAAACCAAGCACAAACAACTAAAGCTGTATTTTAGCACAGCCTTTGCATGCAAGTTCAGTGAATCATTCACCTCTTTATGTCAATCAGGGCTGTTGCTTTCCTAGAGCATATAACTTAGCTACACCCTAGTTATGCTTCAGAAAAACACAGATAACTTGGTGAAATTTAGCCTGACCTCTTGCATGTTGCAGACCACTGAATCACCTAATAGTCCCTTCTGGCCTTAAAATCCATGAGTTTCAAGGATTCTACTGCAGTCAAAATTTAAATACATAGCTCCTCAGAAGGAAGTTCTTATTCCAGTGGTTTTATTCATGCATACCACAACAATGTATCTTGCCTACAGAAATATAAAACCCCACACATTTAATCCCTATGACAATGGCTTCTACTGAATATACATATGTTGTTGCTTTTTCAAATCAGAAATGTATCTGCTGTTTCTCTCCATGACACACATCCAGACACACAGCAGTTCACAAGTAGCTGAATGTGAGTGGTGCCTGAGTCCCTATATATAGTTTTTTCCACCTTAGCTCTCTATACGTCCCTTATGTTTCAGATGCTGCCTTGAAAAGGCAAATGGATCCATGACATGCTCTCTTGTTCAACTGCTGAGAAAGCAAGAGCTAAGACTCAAATAAATCAGTACAAAATGAGGAACAATATACAGGGTAGCCATACCATTCTT